TTCTTACTTGATTATATATATATATATATATATATATAATGCCTTTCTTTAAATATTGCGCGTTTTGATTCAATCGATTTCATCATAATGTATTAGCTCAAAGCAACTACTTGTAATGAGGGTTTCTCAAAAGAATTGTGGTTTTGCTCATTGATTAATTGGATGGATGGTGACTACAATTTTAAATGAGGAAAGACTATTACATAGGGATTTGATATATATTGATTGATGAAGATTGACTGTTGTTGAATCCGAAAGTGACCGGAAAACACATCAATGAAAAAAAGAACGTTATGCTAGGAAGTGATTAGGGGGAGAGAGAGAGAGATGGAACAGTAAAAAGTGAGTGTCTTATTCATAACACGAACCTCTATTTATAAGCTTAGGCCGAACATTACAAAAGTATATATTAGCCCAATCATTAATAACTTTCTAGGGGGACTCTTTTATAATTACAGAGTTATTTGCATATAATAAGACCGGGGACCGATTCGATCAATAAAGGTTGTTGATCACCTAGTAAGCTTTGACTCGATCGATATCTAATCCAAGAGAGTGCTCCCTGTCGACGTCTTGAAGGGTGATTATCACCTTGAGGGAGCCTCTCCTAGCGTCTTTTGCCCATCGTTCCTACATGACACTTCGTTTGTCAATATTCAACAAAAAATGATCGTCAAAAACTATGTTCGATCGTTATTAATCCAAGAGAGTTACAACCTTGTAATCCACATGATCTCCGCAACGAGTAGGCTCATAACAGGCCTAAGGAGAGGTGAGGGAAAAACATGGTAATAGAGTGTGCTCTGTCTATATATTTATTATTTTGACTGTTTTGATGTACAAACTGACTAGATCAATGCAAATTTAGGCTAGTTGGAATTGTCTCCACGTGGCGCACCTTTTCACGATTATTTGGACACTAATTTGTATGATTTTCGTATAAAAAAAAATACAGCATAACAAATGAGTTATTATCACCATAGAAAAAAATTAAGATTTTAAATTCATACTTATTAATTTAAGGGGTCATTTGACCCCTCATTGTCATTGAAATTTTTTTTTTAAAAGCAATATTTTTTTTTTAAAAAAAGCTACAACTCAAAACATTTCATTAAAAATCTACGGTCTATCGCAATGAATTTTTGATTAAGACCAGAACACCGAAAAGAATGAACGCCATCCAAAACACCGGAATGGAGGGAAATCTAAACCCTAAACGCTCGCAATCTGAAAATGGTAAATTTTGATTGTTCTCATAGACACGCTTCTTCTTAATTGATCAAACAAGCTCGCAACATTATTCGAGACGAAAAAGAGGCGAACCGTGCTGCCATACGAGCTATAAGTGTTCACATTTTAAGAACTATACTAAAAATTTATGTCCAATCTAATCATTTTTTATAAAATATTTAACAATAAACTGTGAATATGACTAACAAATCTTAAAGATGAAATTATCATGTCCAATCTAATCATTTTTTATGAAATATTTAACAATAAACTGTGGTGAATATGACTAACAAATCTTAAAGATGAAATTATCTTTTTTCCAAAAATCAAAATTTTGAGACACTCAACCTTTTAGCACTCCGTCTCTCTCTCTCCCACTTTCCATAACCACCGTTTCCCCTCTTCCTCCCCGATGGCCGCGGCGGCGGACAGCCTCCTAAAATCTGGCGGAGTTTCCGCCATGATTCGTCAAGGCTTTTTAACCCCTTCATCTCCCTCATTCCCTTCGTCCCTCTTCTCCCCTCAACTTCCCTCCCCTCCACTATCCTCTCCGCCTCCCCCGTCCACCTTCACCTCCTCCTCCCCCTCCTCCTCCTCCTCCTCCTCCTCCTCCTCGCACCCCTCTCCGTCAACTCAACCAACCACGCTGTTCGATATGATCTCAAGGGAGAATCTAGCTCATCGTCAGCCGGCAGAGGGGAATCAAAACGAGAAGCGATTGCGGGTTCAGGAGCGGATCGCGAGGGTGCTCGCCGCAGATAGACCCAATTGGGGCCCCGGTGACGTCGAGTTGTCAGTGAGCTCTGGTGATGGTTTTAGAGTTTCGATGACGGTTCACCGGCGCGTTCTTGCTGCAGGGAGCCGCTTCTTTGCGGAGAATCTGGGGAGGCGGGGCGGAGTGGTGGAGATCTGTGAGTGCGATGATGTGGAGGTGTACGTCGAAGTGGTGGCTATGATGTACTGCGGCGATCTACGGCTGCGGCTCTGCGGCCAGGGTGCGAAGCAGGTGCTCGGTTTGCTCAAGGTAATCTACTTTCCCTTTTTTCCTTCTGGTTTCTCTTTCTTTCTTTTCTGCTTCATTACAGTTCTATTGGGCTTTGTAATTTGACCAAGAATCTGAACTGGAATCCGTTAAAATCGGAACCAATTATTAAGAATTGTGTGAAAAAGAGAGTAGAATCGCCAAATTTGGCATCGTTTTGGATCGCTGTTAAGTTATCTCTTCTTCTAGCATGGAGACAACCAGATTAAAGAAATAACGGATCAATGCAGGTTTCAGCAGCTATAATGTTTGATGCTGGAGTTGCAGCATGCCTGGAGCACCTGGAAGCCGTTCCTTGGTCTGAGGAAGAGGAAGAAGAGGTAATATCCGTTCTCAGTCAACTAAAGTTAAGAGAACCAGTGGCAGAGGTTTTACAAAGAGTTCTAGTGGAGTCATCTTCTTCCTCCAAAGCAGATGCAATTTTCCTCCGGCTTCTGGCTGGCGTTCTGCAATCCAAAGACGAGAAAGCTCGCCGAGACATGAAAGCTTTGTTACTTGGATTGCTCCGAGAAGACAATGCTCCGACCATTGAATTCACCGACAGAACTGATGTGTCAAGGGAAACTCTGTATCACCTCTGCCACAAATGCGTCAGCTCTCTCTCAGTCACGCTATCCGAAGCTGCATCGCTGGATGAAAGCACGCGACATGATCGTGGCAGCTTGATGGCTGACATTGCTCGCGAAGCCGACAACATCCAATGGCTAGTCCAGATCCTGATAAGCAAGAAGATAGCTGATGAGTTTGTGATGCTGTGGGCGGAACAAAAAGAGCTCGTTAGTCTCCATGACAAGATCCCAAGCATATTTCGGTACGAAATCAGCAGGATCACCGCCAGGCTATGCATTTCTCTGGGCAAGGGGGAGGTGTTGGTGCCCAAGGAAGCAAGGTTTGCGGTGCTGAGCACATGGCTAGATGCTCTGTATGAGGATTTTGGATGGATGAAGAGAGCTTGCAGAGGACTCGATAAGAGAATGGTGGAAGAAGGGCTGTGCCAGATGATACTGACACTGTCGATGCCACAGCAGCAGGCGGTGCTGCTGCGGTGGTTCGATAGGTTTCTGAAGAATGGAGATGAGTGCCCTAATTTGCAGAGGGCGTTCCAGGTGTGGTGGAGAAGAGCTTTTATGAGGAGGTTTGTAGCAGAAGAAGGCGGGGGTCAGTATGCTTCTGATTTGCAGATTGCTGTTTGTGATCGTTCTGCTTGAAAGATTGAATTTTTAAATGTTTATTGTGCAGAAGCTCACTTGATTTTACTTGGGATGTGAAGACTAATGAGAGTTTATTATATATATATTCTTGTACAAAGCATTTGTGTAGGTTCTTGCTATGTGGGGTGGGATACATAACACACAAAAACTTTCATATTTATATTTAGGGGCATTTATATACATACCACCAAATTATTTTGTATTTACATTTCTAACCTTTAAAGTTAGTCCTTTGCATTTATATCACTCAAATATTTCATATTTCATAAAAAAATATCATAATTTCAAATTTTAAAAAGTGAAATGCATCTTTTCAGATACAGATAAGTAGTATATATATGTAAAAATTGAAGTTTGAACTAAATATCTAAATTGATAGGAATTGAGTGTATGTATGTAAATCTTCCTTATATGTAATACACTTTTTATGTGATGTCAAAGATTTAAGTTTTATGGATATAAAAATGAAAGTTCCTTATATGTAATACACTTTTTATGTGATGTTAAAGATTTAAGTTTTATGGATATAAAAATGAAAGTTTAGGTGTTGGATATGTAAATACATATGAACTATGTGGTATGTATGTAAATGCCCCATTTTTATTTTATTTTCGCAACAGCATTGATGAGCTTCATTTGTTGTTCATGGATGGTTTTAGTGTGGCAAGGTTTTTACTTGTTGGAATTTACTGCGCTTGTAAGGTACTGATAAACACATTAGTCATGGGATTGATACCAATTCTTTTTTTCTTTTTGTTTGATATCAATTTTATGGGCGATTTACTGAAATTTGAAGACATTATTAGAATTTATTGCTTCTTTAATGATGGTTAGATTAATTTTATGTGTTTGTGTGATAAATATAACTAAATTATTTGTCTTACTATTTTAAATTTAGTTAAAATATGTAATATATTTTAGTAAAATTAGCATCATCTTGACATAAAACAAATCAATTTATGTTGTCATAAATTTTTTATTAGTTATAATTGCAAGATGGATTATGTTTTGATTATATATTTCTTATCCAATCAAATACAAATTTTAACGCAAAGTATGCATCCCTAAATTTTACTTGGGAGGGAAAAATTGTTATCAAACAAGCTTTTTATTCATGTGATTTAGTTAAAATTGGCATAAAATTAAAATGTTATATTATAAGGATTAATGTGAAAGGTAATTGCACTTTTATAACAGTTTTAAAATTTAGTAGAGAATTATTATTTGGAAAAGTTTAGGCCTAAATTGAATCATTTTAGAAATTTAAAATCTATGTCTGGACATAATAAATGAGAGAGCAGTGAAGTAGCCAATTTGAGTAAGAAATATGTAAAATTTGATTAAAATCATTTAAAGCTCCAATTTCAGCAAAGATATAGTCAAACTCACCCATTACACATGACAAATTCAATACTGAAATTGGTCAAATTTTACTCAAATTAAGCCCAGATCAAGCTGTTAAATCACTTTTGAAAGCTTTCAGTGCATAAATAGATGGTCGAACGGATTCCAAATCTAACAAGCTTATAGATAAATCGAGTGTTTTAACAAAATGAATCCAATGACCAATATCACTCAATTCCAAGGTCATTAAGACACTTAAATGTTCACTGAATACTGTCCAGTTGAGAGAATCTCCCCAAGTCACCCGATCATAGTGGTTCAGATCACTTTCTTATTTGTAATTTGGACTCTATAAATAGGGCCCTACGCCCACTTCAGAGGGAACTTAGACCTGAAGGCAGAAGAATATCGTAGCTTAGAGAAGAAGCTGAAGTTCAACATCATTTCTACATCGAAGATCCGATGAGTTCCTCTCGCTTCCACAACCATCGACCACCATCGATCGCCGTATGTTGGCCATCGTCGACCGCCATTGATTACCAGCTACTCCTTGCATCGAAGCCCCTTGCGGAGTCACGACATGCATTTCAGAATTCTAGCGTATGTTGTGGAATAATGAAGCACCCTACAAAGCAATACGTTGTCCAATACACAGTGTAACAATGCACTTAGAAGACTATGACTTTCTTTAGAGTTTTAAAGCTCCTGATTTTGACCTCTGTGGCCTATAGATGTCATCACAGCTCACCATTATGACCTACATGACCAACTACGACATATGTGGTTCATAGCTTATGCAGCTCCCGAATTCGCCCTCTATGTTCTACAAACACAGTTACAGTTCATCACTATGACCTATATAATCAACTACGACATACATGATCCACAATTCGTGCAACTCTCAACTCCTGCCTCTACGATCTATGTGGTTTATAGCTTGTGAAGCTCCCGACTTCGACCTTTGTGGCCAACAAATATTGTTGTAGCTCGCCACTATGACCTATATATATATATATATATATGACCAACTATAACTTACATGGTGCACAACTTTTGTAGCTTCCAATTCTAGTCTCTAAGGCCTACGAACTTTATCACAACTAGTGCAACTTTCAACTCTGGCCTTTGTGGCTTGCAAATGTTATTATAGCTAATGCCGATCACAACTCCAACCTTTGCATTCTACAAGATGTCAACATAGCTAGTGCAACTCTTAAGTTCGACCTATGTGGCTCACAAAAATTATCACAGCTTGTGCAACTCCTTATTCCAATCTCTGCAGCCTACGAAAATTATCACAACTAGTGCAGCTCTCAACTTCGATCTCTACGACCTAGCTACCAGCATTATCACAGTTAGTGCAGCTCTGGACTCCATCCTCTGTGGCCTACGAACACCATCACAACTTACAACTACGGTTTATGTGACAGACTACAACTTATGTGACTTACAGCTCGTGCAACACCTGACTCTTACCTCTGCAACCTACATATGTCATCGCAGCTCACCACTACGACCTATACAACAAGCTATCACAACAACCTTCGTCTACAATATTCAGCGTGAACTAATGCCTCTGTAGCAATTGAATATGGCCATGCATCTTGTTATCACCTAAAACTGCATTCTTTACCGCCAAACAATGGCTATTATCGATGAACTATAGTTGTACATTTACAATGATCAACTTTTGTACTCCATTTTCTCTAATTCATGAGAAGAGTAGACATGTGCACTCACAATTCATAATTGATTATTTCAATTGTGCTATGCCGCATGGTTTTTTCCTCTTTCCAAAGTTTTCCATGTAAAAATTGAAGTATTTCCTCATGCTTACTTCTCTTTAATTACATTAGCGTATGTTGGGTTTAGATGATAATTCATTACTTTATTGTCATAGACCTTCCGACACACATCAAATACCAAATTATGAATGTTTGCTCGATTACAATAGACATTGTCATGCAAATATTTTAGGGTAATTTTAACGCCCTTAGAAAAAAATACATTTTATATAAGAATGAGAATAAATTTATTATATTAATTTTTGATTTGA